CCATCCCTTAGCAGCCAGGTTTGAGCAAAAACGGCGCCTCGGGGATCAAGGTCTGCGGTGTTTGTGCTGCGAAGGAGAAGGATGCTCTTGCCACGCCGGCAGGTATAAGGAAGCACAGCGAGAGAGATCAAGAGAGAGAGAGAGGGAGAACAAACAAACAAATAAAGCCAGCGGAAAAGGTGGAGCCAGCATTCCAGATACGTTGGAAATCGGTACAAGGATGGGCTTGCGCAACTGGCCTGAAGTGCTGAACTCGGAAGCACTCTCGCACTTTAGTGTGCAGGAGAAGGAGTGGATTTAAGGAGTGCTGGAAAAAGATTGAATTTAAGGGCTCTGGCACAGGTTTCTGGCAGTCGAGTGCGCATGCCACTTCCTGAGAATTCCCGCGCTTCCAAGTCCCGTAAAACCAGGACGGTTACACTATATAAGAAACCCTAGAAAAGAACATTTCTTGATGCTCCTGTACTATTCCGTTGATGTTGAGGCTGCGAAAAGTCACTGCCAAGGCTCTGATCGCGTCCTCCACAAGCTGTGCTGCGCTCTGCTTCTCGACCTTCCTGTGCTTTTGTGGCATCTTCTTATGATTCAATGATTATGCAAGCCTTGAGCTGTGCCTCTTGAGTGTTAACTGCACACGAACCTCCCTAGAAACTGCGAAGGCCTGAGCAGCTATCATACAAGCAAAAGGACCTTTGGGTTAACTCGAAGACACTGTTCTCAATCTGCGTGTAGAATTCATTTCAACATAATTCCTGAAGTGCAGATTGTTGGGGAACAATGCAAAGCACCGCCGCTCTTTGCGATTTGCTCGGCCCGTACACCCGGCATGCAGGCTTGTGTTCAGAGTTCAAGATTCAGTGCCGGAGTCTGGGGGGTTCACGGTCCTGGGCCCGTTCATTTCCTCAAAATGCACTGAAAAAACATTTCGTGGATTTGAATGTTCTAGAAGTTGTAGGATGTCTGCCGTAGCTGTCTGTTGAACCCTGCTAAACTCACAAGAACCCCTCGCAACGCCTGGCACATTTACAAGCAAAAAACAACGCGACAGGAGTAAGCTCGAAAGACCAAAACACTAATTACAAGAAAACAAGAATACCAAAATCTAAAGTTCTTGTGTAACATATCGACATAGCATCCGAAAAGCATTAAAGGGCTGTCAAATACCCGGACAACCCGAGCCGGCTAAGGTTCCAAGTTCCGAATCCGACGGCCGGCATCATGCGTCCCCCGACCTCGCTGGGGCCACAGCCACACCAAAACGAGCATTGTTCAAGTGTTTTTCATGTTCTGGGCTGGCAGTGCTGAAGTTCAATCCCGGTCTAGAAGTTTTAGGCACCAGCCCTCAGACAGCACTCGATCAGCCTGCGCTCCAGCCTCGCTCGGGCTCAGGTTGCGTGCATGCCCAAAAGCAACCGTACAGGAGTGATAGTGAAGAGAAATTCTGGCAGTTGAACACTCCGAAAGGCACCCCTAAAAGTGGTATTTCTACTCCAGACAACACCAGCAAGGTTTCGCCTCAATACAAACGAAGTCGCAGGAAGGACGCATTGTTCGGATGATGTGCCGGCCGTAGTCTGCGTTGCGATAACACCTGAGGAGTTGCGCGATTTCCACATCTATGATTCCCGGCTTCACGCTTGGGGCATTGTCATATTTTGGCTATCGGGTACTGCAAGAGATTGCAACTCCAAGCGGTTATAGACTGTTGCTGTCCAGTTGTTCTCGTGTAACAGTACGCGTCACACTTGCACAGGCTGTAAAGCATTTCAACCCCAAGGAGCAGAAACTGCAGCAACAGGAGAAAAAACAACACGGAACCGCAGCCCTCCACCATCACCACGCCAACAACAACAACCATAACCACAACCACAACCACAACCACAACCACAACCACAGGGGCACAACCACAACCACAACAACAACCACAACCAAAACCACAACCACAACACAACGACAACGACAACGACAACAACCACAACCACAACCACAACTAACAAGCAGCTACCAACAACCAGATACCAAGCACCAACAACCAAGAACAACCAACAACCAGCAACCAACCACAAACAAAACCCAACAACCAACTGCCAATTACCGACAACAATCAACCAACAACCAACAACCAACAACCACAACCACAACCACAACAACAACAGCAGCAGCAGCAGCAGCAGCAACACCAACAACAGCAGCAACCACAACTACGACGACGACCACCACCACCACCCCACCACAACAACAACAACGGCAGCGGCACCACCACCACCAATAACAGCAACCGCAGCAGCAGCAGCAGCAGCAGCAGCAGCACCAGCAGCAGCAGCAGCACCAGCAGCAACACCAACACCAACACCAACACCAACACCAACACCAACCCCAACGCCAACACCAACACCAAC